TCTTGTGTGTATTCAAGAAGTTGGAATGAGTAATATGGAAGCGCTTCAGGCTTCTTATTGGAGACATGAGCGGCTGTATGGCGTGGGCACAAAGAGGTTATTGGGGGATTTCTATGCCTGCAGTGCTTCTGGTTTCCAAAATGTTAACCTCGAAACTGGGATGTTTAAGGGATTAGCCCTGTAGGCGCAGTTGGGTTAGCTCGTAATAGGTTAGTACGTCTCTGCTCCTTACCCCGCTCGCCATGAAGTATAGTCCAATCGTCTTCTCCTAACATTCGGTTAGAAAAACACATTTTCAACGACATTTTTGGCTGCCGAAGTACACTGCCCTTGAAATTTAACAGCACTCTCAATTCATCCTCTATTCTAGCAAACAATGTCTCTCGAAAAGTCTGCTTCAGAAACTAAATTTCGCAAGCATCTAACTCGCGATCAATGTATTGAAATAAGAATATAAAGAAGACTTGTCTTGACATTATAACATACATCCGACGAACTTAGCTTCACAAGAAGGCAAGTGCAACTTACGTGTGCATGAGAGACAGAGAATCCTAAGCCTCGCAAAAGATGCTTATCTAAATAAAGCGCGGAACAAGTTGATGAGCTTGAGGCTTTCGTCCGGGAAACTCCTGAAAATCGACAGTTGTGCTATTTGGAACTAGCAATGGGACCTTTCAGCCACTGGGGATACAGTGAAGGATTAATTTTTAATGCCCTCAATAAAATAGGTTACAGCAGATGCATTGCAATCACGAGGTCTGAAAATGGTAGAGATGCAGCCATAGGAATGTAAGATAGATTGGCTATGGAAGGAGAAATAAGAATAACTACAGCGAGCTCTATATACATGAGGTGTGGGTGTTTGCTGAGTAATGCCAAGACTAGATTGGCATTCATGTCACGTGTAGGTGTTTCATGTTCAAGCACCTACACTGCCTTGCCCATTGCATGTTTGGACCCCTTGTTGGAAATACAGTTTCCTGCTTTTCTTTCTATCGACCAATGTGGTTGCATGCATCTTGCCTGAACTATATTTCTGAGTTCGGGCAGGATCCCACATTTCTGATCCAATCGGAGTCAACGTTAGAGTCTGCTTGAATCCCATTCTTCCCGAACAAATCCAGTCATTGGTTTGTTCGTACTTCTATTGCGTGACCCAGTATTCTCAGTCAGTGGATAATTATTTTCTGGTACGGGGTCCCACTTATTTATGCAGTCGAGTCGGTTCCGGGTAACCTCTATTTCTTATAATTCCACTGTATATATCATAATACCTGTAGTCTATTAGTAAATTAAGCAAACTGAACTTCTTCTCCGTTCTCAGGCAATTCTTACTCCGAAGTCTTCTCTATACTCTAACACCCCTGAGGGCGTAACTATTGCTCGGAAGAAGCTTCCTTTAAGTGTGATTGACATGCACGAAAGATGTGTAGCGGTGATAAAGGAAAGTGGAGGGTACACAAAGTATTGGGATGGAGCAGAATTATGCAAAACATGAAGTACGCTTTCATTTTATTTGCGAGCCATACTTAGGGCTTCGATGTATACTTTTGTAATACAGAGCAATTATTATTGAAATAGATGTGTATTTCTAGATAAAATCAATTGATTTTTTTAATTTTAAATTTTAAATGAGGACCATTGTACATTTGTTTTGGTGTTGAAAACCGTCCCCATTAATTTTGACTTTCACGGAATATTATTGGATAGTAACCCTTGCTTGCATTACTAGTCGAGAAACTAGACATGGGCCTGCATGAAGTCCATACCAATTAAGGCGACATGTATAGGGATCTAACCCCAGTCATTTTGACAATTGTACTTTTGATACCCTTAAGAGACTGTATGTAGTTTTTCACTTTGGACACAAAATAAACCCATTTTGGATGCACTCGTGCGGACAACTATACACCCCGGTGCCATCCTTTCACATGCTGGTTGATCTGGGGTGAAGAAAAAGCCGCCACAAATTGACAGTGATATTGTGTCATAGCTAGATAGCTGCATACACAATTAAAATCCGGTGCAAAAAAAAAATTGATTGACAGTGGCACTTGTATGTGAAATCCCAGGCAGGAGTGCCCTTCCTGTATGTTGATGATGATGATGATTATATTTATCGTGCTAGGTTTACACCCTCCATCCAATGGACATGACACGCGTGGAGGACATCTAGAATACAAGTTCCTCCATTCTCCAGCAAAGCCCATTCGGTGCCTGACATTTCCAAATACGTGCCTCACGCTAGTTACATCGGGTCGAATAGGTAGGAACGCATTCACCATGATCCTAAGGCCATATATTGAGGGAAAATCATGGTGGGAAAACCTCAATAATTCCTCCTGTACTCTTTCACGACGAGCAGCCGTAGTCCCCCCTTAAACAGGCCGTGTAGGAATCCAACCTACCACTTCTAGAAAGCACATCCAGCACCCGACCAACTGTGCCAACAACCTGTTAAAAATCACATATCGTTCTTCCCAAATTCTCCCCTGCATTGCGCTCAACCCCCATTTGAGAGGGCTGAAATTCCGAATTCGAGAGCTCAAAACCGAGGCATCGGTGCCCCAGCTTTTGTCGTACATTGTTCGTTGTCTGATTGAGGCTTCTTCGTTCGCGCCGTCCTTGGAATGTGTCGAAAGGTTGAGAATTTTGATGTCGCGGTCGAGGTGCTTGTCTAAAATGAGGCCGAGCAATTGCCCAGTCCTGCACACAATGTTAGTAAGGTTGAAAGCGAAAGGAATATTACCTTTGATTTTGGAGGGTTGTTGGTGAGTCGTAAAGTCCTCCCAGTCAAACTCAATCGGGAAGTTGTTAGAAGACTGAATAGAAGAGACCCAAACTTAAACTTTTGATCTATCGTGCCGGGAATGGAACCTAGCCCAGGTGTCAATCGAAATCGACTTGGCCACGCTCAGCAAGCTACCGTTGCGAAGGATGCGATTCTTCTTGGTTATCCCAGACATGCAGAGCATACTGAGCGATTGCACCGGCACCACTGGAAGGTGAAGAATTCGACTTTGCCAGCCCCTTCCTGTATGTTGAATCATTTTTAATTTTTCATAACTTTGGTCTAATCGAAGGGGGAGTTAATGAATTTCGAGGAAAATTTATAAATTTGTGGTTGAAAGGGAAGTCCTCAGAATTAAGCCGGGTTTGTTCAGAGGGGCAGGACTTCAGGTTTTGTTTGTCGAAAGCTTTTTCCCTTAGCAAAGCGGCTTACCGTCTTCATGGATCTGTATATAGATACCGTATAGGACGTTAAACTAGAGAAATAAATGAATCATTTTTCCTGTACTTTTTCTCTGACATAATATCATGGCTAGCTAGCCGCATACGCAGTTAAAATTTGGTGCAAAAAAATAGACTTTGTCGGTCGGTTATATACACGTGTACGCGTACGCAATGGGTTTCTCTCTGATGTGGTAGTTCTTGTTCTATTCACTTGCGGGCGTGTCTGCCATATGGGCGACACGGCGACCCGCACTGAGTCATGTGACTACTGCCTACTCACAAAACTGTTGGAATATTGAGAAAGTATAGTCACGGGAGTAAGATAATGCAGATAGTAATATGCGATATGTGAGGAATGTATGGATGTAGTACCAAGGGTGTGTAGTGATAAAGGTGTTATGTACTAATGATGTGGACACCTTTCACTTGACCAACTAGCTGACTAAGCAGCATTTCCTGACAAAAGCAAACTCCCTTACCTACCTGGTGACCACAAACCTACTTCGGCTTTGAAGATTCCTCATTGATATTACAACAGACTTGATGTTTGTCTTTCTTACTAGCCTCAGGCTAAAAAAGCCTTTGAGCTATAGATCTTTTCTCATTTTTTTCATGTCATAATGTTCTCTATTTGACCCTGAACATTGGAAAGCCGCAAATATTATTACAGATGAGAAAACAGGCAGAATAAGGATTACATATCGAAACACACTCTCAGATATCCACCGGAACCTTAGTAGGGCCCAAAGCAGTATTGCAACTCAGGTAAGAAGTGAGCACATTGGTCTCAATTCTTATCTGTATCGAAGGAAAGTCACCGGAGTGATTAATCTAAAATGTCAGTTTTGATATCCGTCTCAAAATGTCAAACGTATGGTCCTGGCGTGTCCTCAGCGGGCAATGGGAAGAGGAGAGGTGCTTCGAAAGTGAAAAGACAGGTCATTTGCGGCAATGATGAACAGCTCAGATGACATAGAGAGAATAACAAAATGGACCCCGGCAAAAGACTGGTTTGAACAATTCCGGCTTGCAGGAGAAGTAGAAATAGCATTGGACGTAAAGATGAGACCATATGGACAAGGATAAGACGATTTCACACTGTATAAACAGTGTAATCGCACTTCCTGTAGGATACCTCAGAAAACAAATAGACACGAGACAGACAGTTATGGGGGGTTTTTACCGAATTTGGTTTCCTCCTGTGTAAATATTGTAGCTAGATCTTCCCGGATGGGCCCATAGGGTACTTGAACGGGCTAAATGAAATCAAATCAAATCAAATGTTCTCTATTTCTCGCAAGAATTCACGTTCATATCCCCTGGCAAGAAGATTAAAAATTTCCACAATTTATATGAGCTTGAAGAAATCTAGGTAAAGAGCCAGCCACCGTCGAAGGGCACCAACTAGAAGTGACTCTAAATGTAGAAATGGATCTCTGAGTTCATTTCACTCAAGCCTCATTGGAATATACCAGAATATACAACTCAGCGCGCTAATATCGGTAGCTTTAGGTAGCTATCTAAATTGAAAGCTGAGGACATATACACGCGTCTACACAGATGCAGCTATATTTATGTGTGTCTTGTCGTAAAGCTATCAACTAGAGTACGTGGCCTGGGCATTGTCTAAGCTATCTGATTTAGCCTGTCATGTTAGGCAGCTCAGTTGGAAAAGCCTTAGGCTTCCACGAAGTCCTGTTTCTAAAGATTAGATTCCCAGCGCACAACTGTACAGCTTCCATCTGCTGACTAGAACTATAACCACAATGATTGCCCCCTACAAAACATTTATTCTAGCTTTGGCTTCAGCTTCTCTCTCTCTAGCTTCCTCCTCAGCTGTATTAGATCTAATCCCTAAAAATTTCGACGAAGTCATTTTTTCCGGAAAACCAGCTCTAGTAGAGTTCTTCGCGCCATGGTGTGGTCATTGCAAAGCCCTTGCACCAGTCTGGGAAGAACTCGCTCAAGACTTTGCCTTCGCCAAGGAAAGTATCATTGTCGCTAAAGTTGATGCTGATGCCGAAAAAAGCCTAGGGAAACGGTTCAAAATCCAGGGATTTCCATCCATCAGGTTCTTTGATGGTAAAACTGAGAACCCAGAGGAATATACAGGAAACAGGGATTTGGAAAGTTTGACCGAGTATATCACGAAAAAGACCGGAATCCGTGCAAAGAAACCAAAAACAGCTCCCAGCGAGATTGTAATTCTTGATGATAGCTCATTTAAATCCCAGACGGGTGGAGAAAAGCATGTCATTGTTGCATTCACAGCTTCCTGGTGTGGACGTATGTAAACCAATAAGTTACGCGGACTTGCTGACTAGCCTAGATTGCAAGAATCTTGCACCAATTTGGGAGAAATTGGCTCAGGACTTCTCACAGGAGCATGATGTAATTGTCGCTAAGGTTGACGCCGAAGGAGAAGGTTCTAAAATTACAGCAAAGGATCAAGGAGTTTCTTCTTATCCAACTATAAAGTTCTTCCAAAAGGGCACAACCGAGCCAGAGTTGTACTCGGGTGCCCGTACTGAAGCCGAAATATTAACTTTCCTTAACAAGAAAGCTGGAACCCACCGGCTACCAGGAGGTGGCCTTGATTCCACTGCTGGCATAATCAAAAGCCTCGATTCATTCGTGTCCGAATTCATAGATGGCTCTGACATTTCGGAGATTGCCGATAAAGTTTCCAAAGCTGCTCAAGATATCGAAACCAATTCTGAGAACCGATTCGCAGAATACTACGTCAAGGTCTTCCAGAAGCTGGAAAAAGATGGCGAGTATGTCGTTAGGGAGCTCGACAGATTAAACAAAATTATAATGAAAGGCGGGGTGACCACTCAGAAGCTTGACGAGTTTACGAGCAAGATAAATATTCTAAAAAGATTTACTGAAAAGGCTGGCGATAAAAGCGAACTGTAATTCAAGTCACTCTGTAGCTAAAAAGTCAAATTACACACGGAAGTTTTGAATTCATTATCACCATAAAGTCCAAGTCTACGAATTACTTACCTTGTTATTATATAAACTAGTTATCACCATCAGGTGATGGAAAATTACGGTATCAAGGTTAAATATTAACCTTCAGTTATCTAGTTGGATTATAATGTATTTATCAGCATCATTTAGACACATTATCTTTTCCAGAAGCCTGAATTTTTAGATTTGCCTCTAAGTTATCTAAGCGACGTGAAATGTCATCCACTATTCGCACCGCGTGAGTATGTACCAAACTAGAAGTTTTTCAGCAAATTAACTTACTCTTTGCAAATATCTCACTAGAAACCCCAGCGAACTTGTTAGAAAGTGAATTCAGCAACTCATCAACTACAGCCGAAAGATCATCAGTGGGGGCAGAGGATTCCATTGCTGTCTGGTATACGGTGCCATTAGATTCTTGTCTCAATTAGGGCTGGGAGAGAAGAACGTACGGTGGTCACAGATATGCGGTTTATCTTTGAAATACTCTCGGAATCATTGGATGCCATTGCATGTGTGCCAATATTTCAAATAAAGATAGATTTTAGTAAATGATGGGTTGTTTTTGCGCCGTAGACTTTCAATGTAGTGGGTTGCATCCCATCTGACCCGACGTAATCCCGATGTAGGACTTAGCTTAGGCAGGGAGCTCTCAGGTTTCAATTCGCTTAGTAATTGAACACCTACAGTCCAAATCAATAATCAACAAAGAGTCATGGCCAATCTCTGATTTCACAAGTGGAAGAGATGAATCTTACATTTCAAGTTGTAAAATAATAATGCCGTCTGTGGCACCACCTCGGCAAGATCTAGCCCGCTTTATACTCGTCCTTATCCTCATATTCTTTCTTTGCACCTCCCCTGATTCGTCACCCGGAGTCACAACTTCACAAAATGAAAAGCTCGATCGAATATCAAGATCTAAAGCTTCTTTAAGTGTCCTCAACTCTACTCAATGGCAGGATTTCAGTCCATATGGCTCAAGAGCCGAGGCGGATAATGCAACCAATTACTTGAACTTGACTGGCTTCCGAAAACATGACGCATACCGGGGATGGCATCGGTTATCAGCCTGGAAAGAAAGATGCGCGAAATTCTCTCGTGAAGCATATGATGTTACAGAGAAAGTAAAGCAACCAAGCAAGGCGCTATACACCAACATTACCGGAGTAGTGCAGGGAAAGTGGACACGGTCAGAACATGACCTAGAAAGTCTCGACAGATCTATATTTCCTGGCATTAACTTGACAAACGTAGCGCCTAGTATAAATTGGGCATTCGAGGAAGACGTGCTATGGGCCAGGAATATCACTGGTAGAACTGGCAGGATTAGGATTCGATTCGAAGAAAAAGAAGGTAGTGAGGTTGACGATGGGTTTACCAAAACAGATAAGTTCTCTACTGGGCCAATAAGAGAGACTACGGCTACAATCCTGATACAGGATGAAAGTAATAGCGGTGATGGCTGGGAAATCCGGGCCCATGGTGTCCATTGGCCCCTATCTGGGGCTCTAGTATTGACCACTACGAGTGAAAAGTTTGCAGGAATATTTGGACTACCGCATCTAACCTACGATCCAATACAGTACGCCAGCAGTCAAAATTTTTTAAATCAAGTTCTGGGGAAGGCTATCGGGGATATTGAAAAGGTCTCTCAGGTCGGTTACAGTAGTCAGTGGTTTGCGAGCGTCGACACTAGGAGTGAAACTACCCTTCAAGTTCCCCATTGTGAATTTGTTATTTTTGTCCAAGTACATCCGTTTACGCTAGGAAATGCCTACTCGTCATTTCTTAAAAACCCGACTGTTATCACCAGTGATATAGAGAATGAGCTTCGCACCCCCAGCGGTGCTCCTACTCCAATGATACCAAAATTAAAAGTTTCCACTGTTATATTATCACCAGACTGTGGATTCATGTTAGAGTCAAAGGGACCTCCGGTCTTCGCTCTGGAATCTGGCGACCATCTTGTGGGGGAAAAGCAGGAGGTAATCCTACGCCATATAAAGAGTTGGCTGAATATTTTCGCTCTAGTGATATTTGGGCAAATATTGCTCCTTCAGGCCCAATCCAAAGAAACCTCGACCCCTTCAACAGTTGGGAGAGTTAGCCTATATTCAATTTCAACGATGCTCTTTGCAGATGCTTCCATATTTGCAAGTCTTTCCCTTCTGAGTGGAACATCACCGAATCTCTTTCCGTCAGCTCTCTTAGTCTCATTCATGTCTTTAATGGCAGTAATGCTGGGGATCAGGCTTCTTAATGCAATTTGGAATTCCCAAGAACCAGAAAGGAGAAACCGTACGAGACAGACACAAACAGCTGCAACCACACCATCTTCATCTCAAAATATTGCATCTCACCAAGATAATACAGGATCAAGAGAGGCTACGACAAGTAACATCCCTGCGCAACCTCCACAAGCTGAACTTATAATAATACCATCAGATCAGGATATCGACGCCGAGATATTTGAGGACAGTTTAAACACCGGCTCTTCGCTTCCTACAATCAACCCAAATGTAAGCGTAACTCCAGTGCGGCAAACACAAGGCATCTCGTTTGCCACAATGTACATTCGCTCTATTCTTTTCTTGACAGTAATACTGCTCGTTACACTGACCTCAACTTCCTGGCCAATCTGGCTTCGAAAGATATACATACAAGTACTGTCGTTAATTTATCTCTCGTTTCCTTCTTTCCAAATTTATCGTAATATTCAACGAAACTGTCGAAAGGCTTTACTCTGGAAGTTTGTAATTGGCCAATCTATCTGCCGTCTAGCACCATTTGCTTACTTCTACATGAAAGATGATAACATCTTCTTTGCGGAGAGGGACAGTAGAGTTTTTTACATACTGGCAGGATGGCTTTGGCTTCAGTGCTGGGTTCTTGCTGCCCAGAGTGTCTTGGGTCCGCGTTGGGGCCTTCCAAGATCTTGGTATGATGAGGGTTGGAACTATCATCCCATTCTTCGGGAAGACAACATTGAAATGGCACATTTACCAATTGGCCTTATGAAGTCCAGGACCCCAACCTCTTCAGTCCATCCGGCTGCACACTTCTCCCCAACTGAGCAAAGTGATGTTAAAGGAAAGGATGATTACATCAGAACTGTTGACTGTGCTATTTGTATGCAGGGTATGGAAGTACTGGTTATCGCGGCAGATGATACCACAACCAGTAATGGTGTTTCTGCAATGCTAGAAAGGAGACGCTATATGGTTACGCCGTGTAGACACATTTTCCACAGTACTTGCCTAGAAGGATGGATGAGATTCAGACTACAATGCCCAATTTGCAGAGAAAACTTACCTCATCTATAAAATGCATGGTTTTATAAGATTTTGTTTTTCCCACTTTTTCACACTGACACACACGGACTAAATTAATCGTGATTAATGTGATGAAGCCTAAGAACTTTAAAATCTTCAAAAGACTGTACTTCAGAAAGGCGTAAGGCCAAACTTTTATATTTAAAGCTCATAAATTAAGTCCTTTTTTTCTCTAGTATCAGAGGGCTCTACAATAGTTTAGGATGTGAACAAGAATCAAAATCTCGTTCCCATACTCCGAATATTCAGTACATAAACAAATATTTCGAGTAACGATGGAAAGAGTCAACATGCTATTGTTGCGCACATTGTACACCGCCACCACCTTCTTCATCTTCCTCATCTTCATCTACGGACACCCACCCCTGCTCTCCTGCTTGAGCTCCAAACTATTTCATATTAATAGAGCTTAGGGTCTAGGGTGGTGGGACTTACGCTGCTTATGTCGGCATCTGATTCAAATTCAACCTCATCAACCTCGTTGGCCTCGATTACAGGAGCCTGTAAAGGTGAAAAAAGCTTTTCAATACTGGTAAGCGTTGCCGGGTTGCTAGCCCATTTATCACTTGGAAAGTCAATCTTCACAGTTAAGAAAAGGTCACCCTTAGCATCGGTCTTTTTTATGGGCATGCCCTCGCCGACGATCTTAATGACCTGTTCGGGCCTCATGATCTTGCCTCGCGGGTGACAAATCTGTATACCGCGATTGTCGAGATGTTTCAGTACGACCCTGTTGAAGCCAGTCAGAGACTCAGCGAGGGTTATGTGAACCTCAGCCGAGAGATCGTTACCCGATCTCTGGAAGACTTCGTGTGGATCTTGGACCAAGGTAAATACGATATCTCCAGGTTCCTGGTTAGGTACTTGATCTGCCTCACCCTCCAGAACTATCTTCTCTTTTTCCCGTGAACCTCGCGGGATGTAGATTTCTAAAACCTTTTTTTCCATAGTTGTACGCTTGCCTTTGCACTTCTTACACCTATCTTTCTCCTTGAATAATGTCCCTGAACCCGAACAGTTGCCACATACCATTCGTTCCTGAGTAACCATTCCCGGACCCACGGAGCGCAAGCCAACTACAAAGCCTTTTCCCTTACATTTGTCACAGTTGACTGGCTTCGCTCTCTCTTTTCCCCCTGACCCCTTGCAGTTAGAACAAATAATATTCTTTTTACTAGAAAATTTGACGGTTTTCCCTTTGTACAGGTCCTCTAGAGAAACCTGGTATTTTTGCTCTTCATTAGGCCCCTTACCCGATCTGTGGGTACCACCAGGTCCTCTGAAAGGCGAGGACCTACCATCCAAGTTGAATACATGTGAGAAAATATCTTCTAAATCTACCTCACTATCCATATTGGGCCCACCCCTGCTGGGGTCGAATGCAGCCATGCCGTGAGAGTTGTAAAGATGGCGTTTTTCTTCATCGTATAATATCTCGTATGCACTGCTGACCTCCTTGAACTTTTGTTCCGACTCTTGTCTCTGGTCCTCGGAGACTTTATCAGGATGATGTAGTAGGGCTGCCTAGATGGCTGTAAGTGAGCGAAAACCTCGAGACACAGGTCGAAATATACCCTGTGATAGGCCTTTTTAATTTCAGCTTGAGTAGCTGTCGGTGAAATTCCAAGAAGATCTATCAAGTTGTCAGGCTACAAGTCTAAAGTAGAGTATTCGAATAGAGTCACCGTAGAGCTCGGTTTCTACTGGCATCGTTGTATATAGCCCGTACTCGAGTTCACTTGATTCAATAAGGATCTATTGAATCGTGGTCTTTCGTGACTACTAAGAAAATTTCATGTTACAATAAAAGAATCGTTTCAATTGAATGCACGGACCAGTGATGTGTGGAAGAGTGCGCGGAAATTTAGGAAGACTGATTAGAATCTTGCGACTCCCTTCGATTGGGAATAAAATCAAGGATAATGAAATCAATAACACTCAATGGAAAAAGACAAATTCTTCCGCTACGCACAAGCTACATCGCTACTTTCAGCACTCTTTGTTCCCGTCGTACAAAATTTCAAAATTCTCTCAGTGAGCGATTGCCTGCAAGGACGCGATTCGCGCCGTCACCAACAGGGAATCTTCATCTTGGTTCCCTACGTACGGCCCTCTTCAATTACCTGATTGCAAAAGCTACACGCGGTAAATTCATCCTACGCATAGAGGACACAGATCAGGTATAATGTTTATCTCCGCAAAATAGAGTAAACTACAGCAATTCTGACTAGAGAAGTCAAGGACTGTTCCTGGTGCGATTGAAAAACTCTGCGCTGATCTGAGATGGGCGGGTTTAGAATGGGATGAAGGTAACATTACTGGGCTCTAATGGCCTCCATCCGCTTAGATTTTGTCAGGGCCTGGTCGCGATGGACCGCATGGGCCGTATCAACAAGTTAGTTGGAGGTGTGTATCATCCTTGCTAAGCTAACTAAATATTCAGTCTCAAAGACTTCCAGTGTATAAAAAATACGCTGATGATTTAATTGAATCTGGCAATGCCTACAGATGTTTCTGTTCAGCCAGTCGACTAATGTCACTGGCGATTCACCAAACGCGCCAGGGTATGCCAACAGAGTATGACCGACACTGCGCTACTATCACGAAACCAGATTCAAATGCAAGAGCCGCAAGAGGAAAACCCCATGTAATACGCTTAAAGGCACCGGCCAGGTACCCCCCCTTTGACGACACTATTTACGGAATGGTTGTACAGAAAAACTTATTAAGGACGCTACAAAACACCGGCACATTTGATGATCCAATACTGATAAAGACTGATGGGTTTCCTACGTATCACTTTGCCAATGTAGTGGACGATCACCTCATGCAAATTACCGATGTTATCAGAGGAGCAGTTTGTAAAGAGCTTTCCAACTACAATTTGTAGCTAACCATTTAAGGAATGGATGTCTTCTACCCCAAAGCATATCGCCATCTATGAAGCTCTCGGCTGGGCGCCACCATCATTCACTCATGTCGGCCTTCTCCTTGACCAATCTGGAAAAAAGCTAAGTAAACGCACTAGCTCAACAGAAGTTGAAAGCTTTCGTTCTCAAGGAATATTCCCGGAGACGCTGACCAACTTCGTTGCTCTTCTTGGATGGTCTCATGGCAAAAAAAGTGATGTGATGAGTCTTGAAGATTTAGTAAAAGAAGTATGACTCCTTGTATTTTATGGTATTTCTCTAACATTAAAAGGCAAGCATGAAATATACTAAAGGAGATACAATTGTCCGTTTTGAAAAATTGAACTTTCTTCAACGCCGTCATGCTGCTCGCTATGCTTCAAAGACTCCATCTAAGAACCCCCTTCACTCACTTCAACATTTAGCAGTTCAGCCAATTATCGAAGAGCTTGATAGTCGAGAATCCGCCGAAAAACTAATGAGCTACCAGAATATTCCCGATGGGCTAGCAAAGGAAAGTTATATTTACAATATACTAGTTGCAGATGCAAGTAACTATACAAATGCAAAGGATTTTATTCAAAGAAATGTCTATTACTTCGCCGCTCCTTCTGTGCAAACACTCGAAGGAAATATGCCGTCAAACATTCGAAAAGGTAAAATCTCCGAAGATGATCTAAAGGCGAACATTGATACCCTTCTAACGCTATTTCGAACAATCCACGAGATCGACTTGGAAGATTGGGACGGATCGACACTGCGAAAAAGGTTAGATTGGATTGTTGAGCAGCGAACAGAACTGGGATTTAAAGACAAGGATGAAGGAGAAACTATAATCTCATTGAACCTGACAAAAAGGAAGGCAGTCAGTAGGTCGTGGAGTAAATTTGTTCATGAAAATTTGAGATGGGCGTTGTTTGCCGGTAAGCCAGGTCCAGATGGAATCAAGATGATGTTGCTACTGGGCAAGGTAAATGTGACGGAACGTCTCTTGCGGGCGGAAAGATTGGTAAGAAAAATGCAGGAAAATACTTCGCAAGAAACAGCCCCTGTTACTATACCTTGCAATCCATAATTGGTGGATCATGGACATTCTTCGAGGACCATCTTGCTTGCTAATTCACCAAGTAACAGATTTTAAACCGCCATAGACACTTTAATATATCACAGGTATGTGACAACCGCTGTAGGGTATTGATTACCACAGATATCTATTTTTGTGCTCCTTTCTAAAAGTTATGGCCCACATCATCAATCTCCCTACCAGATTCGTGCAGCTTTGTAGACGTATGTCAAAAATGCCCACTTTCTTGAGAGGCCTATATCCTGTTTTATTTTAACTTTGAAAGGCGGGATAACGAGTTCCTAGATTTCATTTGATATATTTGGTTCGCACATGCGTCAATACGTTGTGTTTTCTTTTTTATTTTTATAATTATTATTTAACGCAATACGTCATGCATTTTCATTACAAGCTAAGCGATACGTAAAGTGCTCACGTGCTGGGTGCGACATTGATTTGAAATGAAACCTCTAACAAGAAGGCCGATTTAAGGCTATTTTTTTTATTTGTTCATTTTATTGTCCTATCTGAGTCTATGACTATGTAGGACATGCAGGTCTTCTCTGCCTACAGACCAAGGATACCTATACCATTAGTATATCCCCTCTTTTGCCTCCCATACAGCTCCCCTCAAACAGTACCGCCCCTCGCAAGTCCTCATTCGATCATACACTTAGAGGAGACCTTTGCCCTTCATTATCTCCCCTCTCCAGCCAACGAAACGATGGCCATTTCCGGGTGTATGGCAGCCGGGAAAAATCGCAAAAACCACTGGGTGCGGGGCTTTTCTAGCACCGACATTAGGACTAAATCCGAAGACATGGTGATCGATCTGAAGCGTTCGAAGAGGCTGGCCAGTTGGACGCTGCAGACTTGTGGGCACTTCGGGAAATTCACTCTCTGCCTTTATAGCCTCCTTCCAACTCCTTCCTGAAGGTCGTGCCGAAATGTCAGAAAAGTCTTGACAGAGCGTGATTGCTGTATGGTAGCTTAGCCCAACTTCTTTTGTGCCGTCCAGGGCGCTGGGGAGTGCCGTTGACTCACCGACAAAAGAAGCACTCCTGACTAATTAGCTGAAATATTGGTCTTGGCGCCCACACAGAATCCAAAGTTGAAAACTCCTCGAAAATGTCAGTCCCAGCATGGTCTTCAGAGTCTTGTTTCCCCTCTCGCTCCACATCTCAGCCGCCTGTCATTCCTCAAGTTATTTGTCCCACTAGAGCAACAGTCCCCCATAAGCCAAGACCCAGGCTTTGTGTTTTTCGACTTGATGTCCTCCTTGCTGGTATAAATAGCGTCGTAAATATGTAGTGAGAGATGGCTGGAAATGAATGGGGCAAGCTCCTGTTTGCAGTTGGAGCAATTTCTTTATTGGTCGTCGAGGCGAGATGATGCGTGGTTAGAGAGATGTTGAGGACTCAGATTAGTATGGTAAGAGAGGCATTGTCGAGAAGTCGTCAAATGGAGATGTGCTTGAGGTTGCTTTCGACTTCGATTCGGATGCGAATCTTCTTGGCTATCCCAGATATGCACGATTTAAGGCTAGAACGGATACGCAACTACCTCACAGTGCGAGTTGCATCAACAGACCTAACATCTTACACGGTGACGTTGGACCTCCTCCCGCATGTTGTGGATATGACTAAGGAAATCTCCCGAACTTTCTACCAACTGAACACTAGCCCCTTGGAACACTGGTCGCGAAATACTGCTACCAAATATCTGGGCTACAAGCAGAGGAGATGGCCTCGAGGAATTCACTAGATGGCAAGCATCTTAGTCCCTTTTAGATTTGTTCGTTTTCTGGATGGTGCCCTGTAAAAGGACCGAGCCGGATCTGGATATGTATCTATCGAGGCCTAGTGTAGATAGTTGGGCAGGCCGCTCTTCCTCTCGGAGCATCTGCCAAAGTGTATGATGCGCAAACATCCGGGGCCACTGAAAGCCTATGTGCTGCTCTCCATAATCTATTGGCCCTATTTTCCACGAACGTTACGGTATGACTGGACAATCAGGAAACCTACCTTCGTCTCATAGATTTTCCTTCTTCAAGTAGTTCCTCTCGTATCGCTCGCTTCCGAGAGCTTGCCACTTTATCGAACTCAGAGAATGATAGTGTCCAGGAGATATCGGCATACCTGGAAATGAAATCGCTGACGCACCGGCCAAATAAGCATGCGCAGCTCCTACGGCCCCCATTCTCAACAATCTCCCGATCAAAGACAAAAATTATCTCACAATGCAAAGCCTTTACATCCCTAAATTGCTCCCAAACGATCCCAAAAACAGGGGATTCGAGGCAAAATTAGGAGCTCCTCCGAACTCAAGAGCCTCAATCGCCTTCTTGCAGCCCGTTCAGGTTACTATGACTTTGCTGACTACCACCACCGCTATAACCGTGCAGACGGGAGGGCAAGACTAAACACCTGTACGCGGTGTCCTCTACGAACCTGGGAGTGAAATATTCTCCCAGAGCCAAGTTCAGTCAAATTTCGCAATATCAAAGAAGTTGGCCCACGAGGCAAAATTTAAAATTACTCCACCACGTCGTTTTTCCGCTCCCAACGAGTTTGACGCCTACCTGAGTCTTATCAAGTCTACAAGTACGACCTAGTACATCCTCATCCCAATGACCACACCTCTCTTCGACCTTCTCTGGTCTCAGTTGACCACCAAATACACGCCCACGCCGATATTTATACCCGACGGAGGAAGCAAAGCGTGGCGCACAAATCTGGGAGACAGTTCTTCGGGATGGACGTGAGAGGGATCAGGACAAGTTTACAAGATGATGCAAAGGAAGGATATAACCTAGAAGGAAGTGAAATTCCGAATTTTGGCAAGCAGTTTTACGAATTGAGCTTTGTGCGTATGCCAAGACTTCGGTTGCGAGAGTGCAGCTGACACTATAAAAACAAGCCGACGATGGAAGGTGTTGTGGTCCGCCTCCTGGTGGTGTTCTCTGGTATGGTTTGAGTAGCCTGGGCACCTACTCCACTTGGGAAAGAGACACCCCAGATCACATATCGCGCGGAGAATAGTTGAAAGATGATGAAGGCATGTCTGGATAACTCAGGGTTTTTGAGACGTTCCCCTGGGTGGGTATTCACGGATGAGGGTTGACTTGGGGTGAAGAAAAAGCCGGCATAACTTTGCAGTGGTACTTGCAAATGAAATCTGAGGCATGAGTGCTCTTCCCTTACGTTGAATTATCTATTCTGCACTTTTCTCTGATATTGTGTCATAGCCAGATAGCTGCATACGCAATTAAAATCTGATGCAAAAAAAAAAGAAAAAAAAAAACCCCGTGCAGACGCCCTTCTGACCTGCGCTTGTGAGCAGGAAAGGTGCACTGACCACTTCTTTTGTCAATCCGGTTAGAGTCGGTTCCGTCTTCGCCGCGGAACAAAACTTTCAACGCCGGGAATCCCCTTGATTTTAGGCTCTCCTAGAGGAGCTACAGCCTTTAGTAAATGGCTTCATAATTGTAAAAATGACAGAGTCACTTGGGAAGTGCGATAAGAGTTGTCAGACTCTTGCGACATATCGCTTTAGAGGGACTAGGACTTGAGTTGATAGATCAAATGAGAAAGTGGCAAAATTGTATATTTTAAGTGTTATAACAAAGTGGTAGATCTCGGTGTGTAAGTAACACTGTGTTCCCTTACTTTTATATGACTAAGCAGATGCGTCTCATTCTAATTGAGTTCCTCACTGTTACGGGTTGACCGTGTTGTGGCTTCGGCAGGCACCTAAGCCAGATCAAAGGTGGTTACATCATTTCTAAATCATTGGAATGTGTTAGAATTTAGAATAATTGGGGCTATCAAGTAGCCCACGTTGTTGATACACACGTGACTACAAATTCTATACTTAGTTTCACTTCGGTAGTTACTTGAATCAATGCGCTCTACAACCTCAATGACTGAGGGATCATTATTTCCTTAATAGAATGACGTATAAGGAGACATCTTAGATGGAGGGCAAGACTGAACACCTGTACGCGGTGTCCTCTACGAACCTGGGAGTGAAATATTCTCCCAGAGCCGAGATTCAGTCATGACAAAGGGTGACTTTGAGAGTTTTCGTCGAGTTGGCGATCGGGAGGAGTGGTGTTGGCTCATTTTTGGTCGAAAATCCGACTTGCAGAGATTTCACGCCTGCACAACTCAATGAGATCAACCATCTACACCCCAGATACGAACCGCAGACAGGCTATAACCTGTCTGATGTTCGTATCACAACAACAGACACCTTCAAGATCTTATTTTTTATTTCTCTGGAAAATCATCCCGAGCCAAACTCATCTCGCGGCTCTCTCAACAATCATCTCACCACCTACCTAAGCGATCCCATACTTCCAAAAGCCAAATCGCCATTTAAGAAGCGAGAGGATGTCCGATGTCACAGTTTGAATATAGAAAGCGAATGGGCATTTGTATGATTGAAAGGTAAAGCTATAATTCATCTATGTAGAAGCAAACTACCTACAAGTCTCCTCTACTACTTATACACATCCAGAGGTATCTAAATCTAGCCTACGTTTACAGTGGCAATGAAACTGACGTAAGGTTTGTTCTGCCACACGGGTAACGCTTCCGATACTCTTGGCACTATCCTTTACGTAGCCTCAGTGGCGATCTCATATCAGTTTTCGTCTGCTGATAATCCTCGGAGTGATAGATAATCTAGGTTGCCTTCGATAGCCATCGAAGGCTACAGGGCTTATCGGCTCACAAGCCGTCACATCCGACCCTCCGCAAGTGCCAGCCGCTGTGAAGGTACGATCGAAATATCGGCCTCAAACGCGTCCTCACCTCGACCAGGGGCACGAACGACTCGTCCTACGACGAATCCCTACCGACAAAATACGTGCGATATTTCGCCGGCACACCAACTAGAGCATTCGACAAAGGCTGTGGCACCGGTGCCTCGATCTTGAGCTCTCAGTCGCGTTTTCGACCTCCTTGGTTAGGGGTACGGCGGCGACGGGGTAAAGTCGGAGGGGTGGA